TTATTCTTCAAGTTATCATTTTAACATATATATATATATATATATATATATATATATATAAATAAAATATAATTAATCAACATATATATTCTATTTTATTTTTTAACTATAAAAAATCATTAGTTCTTTTTCACAATCGTATTTTATTTAATAACTTATATAACTCACCATATAAATCTTTCACTTTTTATTATTTAACCAAGATAATTTATTTCTTTTCATAGATTAGCTGAAGCATGTGACGAGATGTTTCTTATTCAATTACTATTGTTTATATAAACAATGTTGTGTAAGTATGTAAATCAATAAAAATACAGTTTTTTAGGTCAAGAAACAGAAGAAGAACTAAAACAGAACAAAAAAGGCACTTTAATAGTTTTAGTATTAGAAGTATACATTTTTTAAATGATAGTAAGAAGCTCTTAAGATTTAAAAGAAAGCATTGAATGAAGTTATAATGATACATCATAGGTATAGTAATGATATCGAGTGTGTGGAAATATCAGTGGCTGGTGGCAATGATATTATATATATATATATATATACATGTGTGGTGTGGTAGGACAAAACTGAAGCAAACGGAAGTGAACTGTGAGATACTGAAGAAGTGCTGTGAAAGTCTAACAGAAGAGAACAAGATGCTGCAAAAAGAGTTGGAAGAGCTTAAATCGATGAAAACAGCATTGCAGGGACCCCTTTTTATGCAGCTTCCAGTGCCAAACCTTACAATATGCCCTTCCTGTCAGAGAATTTCCGGTGGCAGCGCCGCCACCACCAACAGTGCCTCCCCTCCTACCACCACCACCACCTTGCTTGTGGGACCAAAGCCCCGTCACGATCACCACTTCTATAAAAATAACTATACATTCACACAATCATCAGCAGCTTGCTAGCCAAACAATACAACTTAGTTAAAATAAATTCAACTTTTTTTACTGTTAAAAATCATTTAAAATTATGATGAAGACTTTCTTCTTTTTATCATTTTTTCTAATTTTAGTTTCTTGTTTAGTGCCTTATGTATATCACCTCTACCAATGATATACACAGTATATATAATCTTCCTGCAATTATTTTTATGGGAATTTATCCTGATATTGTAAACTAGTAATGATCGATCAACAGATGTTAGATTTGTTTTGGCTTCACCCATCAAACTTGTCAATTATTTTTAAATTACAAATTAAAATAAAAAATAGTTTAAAAATTTAACTTATTTATATAATTTCTTTTAAGGACATATATATATAATAATATTGTAACTTAAATCATTAACATTTACACATTAAATTAGAATTATTAGTTGTAATAAAATAATTTAAAATATAAATATAATAATAATTTTAAATTAATTAATTAAAAGCATAACAATATTTATATAATTAATTTTTTTAATATATATATATATATATATATATATATATATATATATATATATATAATTTACTAACTTATGTAACTTTTTCAAGTATACAAAATTTTAGTTGACAAAAATATTCTTATTCATAAAATAACATGTTTTAAACATAGAAATATTTTAATAATTTTTATTTTTAATTTAAAATAAAAAATAAAAAAATTAGGAATTATTTAAATACTCTTAACCTTAAAATTTAGTATTCATGATAAAATTTGATAAGAAGTTAACAAACCTCTATTTTATATATATATATATATATATATATATATATATATATATATATAATTAAAAAAATTTAAAAAAATGCAAGTCAATCCATCCATTAGTAAAATAGATTATAAATTCTAGACCGTTTTATTATAGCGGGTCATCTGGCCCAATCCTTTTTGGTAAGTCAATGACAAACCGAATATTTCTATTTTTTTTTTTGTTTTACTCTTATGTATCATATGAAATAGTAGTATGGTTCATTTGGATCCCTAGTCATAAGTTTAAAAATAATTTTTTAAAACATAAAGTGTAGAACTAAGAGAGTTTATCAAGACCCATATTTCATTTTTTTAAAATATTTTCATTATTTTTTCAATTAATAAATGAAATTATTTGTGTTAAACTATTTTTAGAAAACATAAATCATTCAGTATTTTATAAGTTGATGGATATTTTAAACATAATAATTCAAATTTAAGAACTAATGTTACATTACAACTAGCTTTTAAACAATTTTTCAAATAAATGTTCAAAATTAATAGAAGGCATTAAACAATTTTGGCCCTATGTAAAAAGTAAGCCTTAAGTACGTATAAATAGATTTTAACTTTTAACCATTAACAATATAAATATTTTTGGTCCCCTTAGTTAAAAACCATATATTTTAAATTAACTAATAATGTGTACGCATGTACAGTCCATTAACATAAAAGCTCTTTAAGTTGTGAATATATTTTACCATGAAGATAATATAGTGTTGATTTAAAAAATAAATAAATAAGTGTGGGTGAGCATGTATATAAATTGAATTAGTGTAAACTCTTGTAACAAATGTTATTTTATTACATTATAATATTACAATTAAATTGGTTATGCTTCTATATGAAAACACAATTATTAAATGATTTTAAATCACTATTTATATTGATTTCATATAACATGTAATTAAGTGTTATGAATGATTTTAAAAATAGAAAACATAGATACGCCACGCATGGTATAAATTCTGAGACCAGAAACAAAAGATCCTTAATCATCTAATAATGTATTCGAATAGTGGACTTTTCTTAATTCTATATTCATTTTATCTTTCTTTTTTATTCTTCACATCCCTACTATCCCATTATTAAACATCTCCTTCCAAGTTAATCTTAGAGACGGAAGAATGAAGCTGAAAAAGAAAGCCAAAATAGCAGCAGAAGAAGAAGAATAGTAGCAGCTATGATGTATTGAAATCTAGTAGAGACATAAATGAAACAACTTAGTTGAAATAAAGATGGTTCAATGTTTAGTTGCGACATAACACAAACAAAGGTTTACATCAGTAAATCGTATTTTTTTTCGACGATGGCAGTTTCAACAATCAAACATAAACATTGCATAACCAAGTTGGTATTCAGCGAATCGCACAAAGAGTTAAAAAAATGTTGAAAATCAGAATACTAGATAAGACAACCAGGAAATACAAATTCCATGGTGAAGAAGACGCTTATAAATCGATTGATACCAGCACTGAGGAGTCACCCTTGTCAACAACGAATGTCTTAGAAACTTTCTTTGCTAAGGTGACAACTTCGACGTTGTATGTTCCACTGAAGCCTCTGAAGCTGAATTGCCCTTGCGCATCAGCATAACCATGGCTGTGAGATAACCACTCTTGTTTGAGAGAAAGGAATCTTTTCCCAGCTTCGTTGAGTTCTCCTTCGGCATTCACCAGGTGTGAATTTTCCCGGCTCATAAACAACTCCCAAAAACCCCAGAGCATTACACCATCTATGGCAGGGTGTGCCATAGCTTCCCGCAGCATAACTTCAAGATCATCAGCTCTGACATATTCATTGGTGGAAGACACATCAAGCTCAGTAAACCAGATTGGTATACCAAGAGTGCCCAATTTATCAAGGGCAGAACTGACAATAGGTCCCACAGGACTATCTATGTGACCTTGAATTCCTATTCCCCCAACTGGGGCACCTTGCTGTTGCAAATCAAGAATATGTTGAATGTACTTTTCTGGGGATGATCTGGTGTCACATCCATCTTCAACATGATAGTCATTCACAAAAAGAGTAGCAGATGGATCCAGTTGGTGTGCTGTCTTGAACATGTTTGCCCTTATATCCTTACCTAGTTTGTCCTGATAAAACGAACCGTGCAACATTTCGTTGTTGACATCATAGTGTCTGAATTTACCCTTGTAGCGAGTCAATAAGCCATTCAGGCGATTTTGGACAGCTTTCATCAAATCAGTTTTATTCAGTGATTTGACCCATTGCTGAACAGTGCCGTCTACTTCCCAGAAGATACAATGGCCCCGAGTGTCTATCTTGTTTTTCTGGCATAAGTCTAGCATTTCATCGGCATCCTTGTAATTCAGATTCCCTTGTTGTGGCTCAGTCCAGTACCACTTCAACTCATTACCAAAAACTGCCCAGTTAAAATGTTTCACAAAAAAGTCCACAAAATCTTCATTGTCAATATTGCTTCTACTAATGCACGTTCCCATGGGAAAATCATTTTGTATTTGTCTGACTCTCACCAAGGTTCCAAGATTTCCAATTGAATCCAGCCCAGAGAATTTTAGAGTAATATCACGCTTACGGATCTGCATATGGTAGCAAGTGCAAAATAAATGAAATGAGAAACGGGGGGAAACGCAAAGAATGTAAATTATCACTTATTCTATAATGCATATAATGGAAAAGGATTAAGTATTACAGTCTGATATCTATAAAAGAAAAAGCAACATTTTATTTTGTCATAAAAAGGAATGATTTATGTCACTTGACAGATCATACAACGCACTGGGGTAAAAAAGAGGAAGTAGATAATCCTATCACCATTTACTAATGGCCTGAGACATTAATCTAAACAAGTCACGTAACCAACTGCTTCAGAATGATCTCTAACATATAATGTTTAGATGTATATCATGTCACTGTTAAAATATGGGGAACTATTCTTAAAAAACTAAAATCAATGATTTTATTAGAATTATAACAAAATTTAATCATATTTTCATTATTAGAAACATATTTAAGTCTGATAAGATATAAAATGCACATATATTTGACCTTTTCTGTCTGCCTCCTCAGATACTTAAACCTTGCTTGTCTATCAACAGCAAAAATTTGAAGTCCAGCAATCATTAAATCAACACCAGAAGAAGGTCCTTGAATATAAACCATAACCTTAGATGCCTGCTTTTCAATTCTAAAAGACCCACCAATTTCGTGCCACCTGCCATCAGCAATCTCAATTTGACCTCCATTGACCCACTGATCATCAACGCTAAGGGCAACATTAACATTCTGAGGCCCAGTTGATCCGGAACCAACCCTGACCCAAGCAGATACTTGATAAGTTAGAAAGAGTTTCAATTTCTCAGTGATCATCTGAGCAGGACCCATCCATGTTTGTGTGCGATTGGTTATAAGAAGGTAGCGGCCGCTCAAGGATTCATGAGGCCCAAGAGAGTCTCTTGCCATTGATGGAATTATACGCGGCGAACCACTCTCAATACTCAAAGTACAACTCCCAAGTGGAAACCATCCATTGGTGCCATCACCCAGATTACTGTTTTCAATTATGTTAACACCAAAAGCAGCAATCTGCAAAAGCAAAATTAATCTCAAGTACTTAAAACATACATGGTTCATCATTCAACAAAACTGTACAAATATACGTAGAAACTATAGTGTCACTTTTTATTTAAACAAGGAATGAGCGCTAAGAAATTTCGGCAATTGGTAATTTGATATATGAAAGTAATTTAGAGTTAATAATTTCAAAGCCCAACCTCACAATCTGGTGGTGTTGAAGGTGGTGTTTTAGCTGCATGTTTTATAACCAAAGTATTGACAAGAATGTCAGTGCCCGCAGGAGGACCTTCTAAATAAACTACTACTTTTGATGGGGAACCATTTAGGAGGAATTTTCCTTGCATTTGGACCCAATCTTTATCTGTTGCCTGCACACTTTAAATACACAGAACTTTTAATCCAATTAAAGAAGCATTCTGATATTGATAAAATAATATTGCACCAAATTCTTTTCTCATATTTGTAATAAGAAGAATAATAAACCAGAAAAGTCATATCATTTAGAGTCTATGCGAAACGATGCAATAAAGCATTAAGATGGAACTAACTTGGCAATGCCTATATACTGCTCGCGAAGATCCGGTGCTTGAACCCACAAAGTAGCCCTTACATCAGAAGTGGTGACACTGTTCCCAAATATCCGAACTAATGCAGTAACCTCATAGGCAAGCTTGCGCTGCACTCTTCCTGTGATCTCCTGCTGAATTCCGTTCCAGCTTTGGGTACGTTCTGTTGCAGATGCAAAGAATTTACCAGACTTCGGAAGAATCTTCCCATCTCCCATGGAGTCATGTAAGGCAATCTTGCAGCCTCTTCCAGTCCAATTATTCAGGCCATCATCAAACTGGGGATTTATTATGATGTTTTCATCATCGAACTTGTGAAATAAGGAAAAACGCATCACATGTTAGTGTTTGTGAAAATATAAAGATTTCATGGAACCAAAAAGAAATGAAATGGCACATCACACTTATTGTAATTTTAATCTAGCATTTGAAAGGCGGAAGCACAGCAAGCATGAGCAATGTTAAATACATTAGATTTTAGCAAGAGTAGAATTCACAAACATCTAACAGTATTAAATGCATTATTACTTTAAGTTCTTGGATGTTCACTGATTTTATAAGCAGATCAACTCCGGGAGAAGGTCCTTTCAAATAAAATATAACTCGATCAGGCATAGTTGAAGGTCCTTTCAAATAAAATATAAGCTATTATTTGCTATAATTTCCTATTCACACACCTTAACATTTCAATGTGGTAAATACATGGCTCTTCTTTTTAGCAAACGAAAAAGAAAAAGCAACAGAACAATTTGAAAACATGCTGAATATAGAGAAGTAAAAATGCATGCCTCAGAGTGGTTTCCTTCATTGATCATTGGTAAGTCTCCCATAGCTTTTTCAGACTTCTAACCCAATAAAAATCAACCAGAAGACCTTCAACTAGGAAAAAGAAAAAGAATAACAAAATCAATTCATCATCAAACAATTTTGAGTCACTATGAACAGTGATGGTGAAGACATTTTTCTTACAGTAAGAGCGAAAGTTGGAGAATCTCTGGTTCTGAAGGCAAAGTGTCATAACATCTTCCATATATATACACAACAGAGTGACTCAGAAAAATTTGTGAGTGAAGGCTAAGAAAAGTGTGGGGCCAAGCAGCGAAACTCATCAACAAGAACCCCATTGTGGGAATGGCGATAGATTTTCGTCTTGAATGAAATACAAAACTGATTGTCATTAAATATCCTCTGAAGTAATCCCAAAAGAAGGGAGAGAAATGAAAACAGAGTAAAAGAGTTAGCTTTCTGATTTTGCTTATATTTTTCTTTCCCTGTTGCTTTGTCGTTCAGACAAGCAATGCTTGAATTGGAATGGAAGCCTAAGGCGCCCAGATCGAGGAACAACGCTGTAGTTCCTTAATTTAACATTACCACATTCATTCGCACCAGACTTCAAGGATTTCCCACAGTTTGGTGGACATGGCTGTTGCATCGGTTTATTATATTCCAATACACTGTCAAATTTCCTAGTACTATAGGACTAACATATATGCCTTTTGTTATTTTATAATACTTTTTTTACAGAAAGTTTTTGTTTTTCCTATTTTTAATGTAATTTTAGATAGTTTATTTATTACGCTGTTAATATAATATTTAACATAATTATTATCTTAATGTATGTGATAATATATATTTTTTGTTTGTTAAAAGGTAGATGATATCTCCATATTTCTCATGAAATCTGTATAGAAGAGAAAAAACATAACCTAATTTGTAATAGAAAAACTTATTCAAACATATTCATATTAATTATGACGAATTTGTTAATTTTGAAAAATTGAATGATGTATTCATCAAAATATTTATGGGAAACAAAAGTATATGCATTCGTGAAATTATGAGATCGAAAGTAAATTTAAATCTATTAATATAAAGTTAATAAAAAATATGCATAACTTTTTTAATTATTTATGTGTCTTTTATAAATATTTTGTATATGAAAAAGATGTGATATTTAAATATATTTAATTAAACTTTTAAGTTCTTCTTAAATTTTAATATTCTTATTTGAATGTTTATTAAAAATGAAAATATAGAATTAAAAATATAAAAGTTTTAAATATTCAATTGAATTTTTTTTGATAAATATTCAATTAAAAATATATAAATTTATTATACACTGAAAACTTAAATAAACTTTTCAAAAGATAAACATTTTAAAAAAAATATTTTAAAATGGGAAATAATAAATAAATGTACGCAAAATTCTTGTGGAAGGGAAACCTATCAAATTATCATTCTGTTTTAAACTTGCAATCAACAACAATATCCAATTGAGATAAACGAAAATGAAATGTTGAATTTGAGTGTTATGTTTATCTACACTGATCCAATGTGAAATGTGAGAAAAGATTCCTTGTAGGGTTCTTCCTTCTTTGAAAATTGCAGTAATTAGCTACTAATTGATTATCTGTGTAATTGGTTATTAGCAACAAATTCTATCACTTATTCAGTTTCATCTCATCGTATTTTAGTCATCTTAAATTATAATATTATTATTAAGATATTTAAATCATAAATATACAGGAATAATGATAAAAACACACACTAAATGTCTGATTTTGTTTTTGATTCAACAATATAGATATTAGAGTGGAAGAAGTAGAAAGAAATAAAATCAAAACTGACATCATTGAGGAGGAGAAAGAATAATGAAGTGATTTTTCTTTTGATGTAAACATGGTTTCTGGCAACGAATATGATAAACCATGCGTTCTCGTTTTCTGAACTTTGTTAGGAGGGATATGGGCCAATCATCCACATTAAGGGCCTTTCTTTCTTCCTGCACTCCCCCTTTCTCTTCCTGCACTTCATCGCTGACATCAATCAATCCACAGTTTATCTATATTGATATTGTATTTGCATTTATTTAAGAAAATATTATCCTGAAAAACATATTTAAAAAAGGCTTAAACTCAGTGTGAAACCGATATGATATGATAACATTTTATGCTCACAGTTATGCCATTTTATGTTGCCACGATTGCCACATTTTATTTATATACATATATATGAAGAATAAGGATACATTTCATAATTGTATTTACATTTTTTTATATAAATATACAATAAATATTAAAAATAAAATATACTTATAGTTGAAGGATGAAATTAATCGTTTTATTGCGTGGACATGGAAGTAAACTAGAAAAAATATATATTAAACTAATGATAACAAACAAAAAAAAACTTACAAGTCACGATTCTACAATATAAATTAAGAAATTTTTTCATAACGTAGATGCCAAAATATAGTATAACAAGATATTAAGTAACTAGTCGACAATTAAAACCAGAACAGCCTTCATAATTTAAAGACCGCAGCTCTTAACATTCAACTTATCTTGTTCTATATAAGCAAAAAAAATCAATAAATTTATTATCTTTAGAATCAATAAATATATATTTTAAGTAAAAAATGACATAATTTTGTATATATTATTTCTATATAATTGATATTCTATCTTAAGTAAGTTTTCATAGAAAGAAGACCAATAATATACAATGATATAAAAATAATTATAAAGAAAAGGGTAGCATTAAAAAATATATAATTTTTTTAAGAGTTATTTTTAGTATTACTATCGGTTTTAATCTTTGGAAAATATGTTATCTGCGGTTGCAAAAATCGTTGGAAAAAATAGCGTCGTTAAGTATTACTGACGGTTTTTGGCTAAAACCACCGTAATTTTCCGGAATTTTGACAAACCACCAGTATTTGTGGGGTTTCGATAAAACCGTCGGAACTAACGAGGGTTTTATAGAAATCGTCGGAAATAATCGTGGTTTGGTAGAAACCACCGGAAATGACTATTGAGTATGGCCAGGTTCCTAATCTCCACATCCGTGCTGGCTTTGATGTTACTGTTTGATAATTTTAGAAGAATATTATTACTTATGATTCTTAATGATATTATGTTGTGTACCTAGTTAATTGTACATTTTTTTCTTCATTTTTCTTATTACTTATCTCTTCTTCTTTTTCTCCCTATCATTTTCTATTCATGCATTGAAACTAATATCTATATTTTCATCTCTTCCTTGTGTGAGTTTATTCCTCGATATTTGAAACATTGTTTTATTTTGATGAGAACAGGGATTTGAAAGAAATTAAGTTGTGAAAGGTGATTCGAAAAGGATGTAAACAATAGAGAGTGGGAGGTCCCTCCTCTTCCCAATAAAGTGAAAATGACACTCTCATCTTTCTTTTAACACATTTTTGCTTTCCAACCTTAAAATACAATCTCTCTGTGCCTCTTAAACATACCACCACTTCATCATCTAACCTTTCATCTTCCTTTACATACTAAAATGTCATACCTAACCACAACATTTATCAGTCTGATAAAGTTCATCTTATTATGTAGGGTATGTGCATGCAATACATGTATCATGTAAGAGAGAGTTTAGAAAGAAAGAATTAACAATGTTAAACCTATCACATGTTTAGGGGTGTGTGTAGGTTAATTTCTTTCACAAAAACATTATGTCTGCAACCAATAAACAATGTATGGATCCTTAATAATAATAATAATAATAGTTATTCCTCTCCAACAAACTAAGATACAGTAAAGTGCTGCATATTAAAAATTAGAGTACTCTTATAATAGGTTCATTCTGGTCAAGATATTTGAAACATAATTAATTGATCTCTACTTAACGTTTTATTCATTCACCTTCCAGACAACAATTCATAACTTCTACTTAGTTTTATAACTAATTAGAATAAGTAAGACTATTTCAGTCTTCAAATTTATAACTAATTTGGTATAAGACTTAGTTTTATAACCAGTTTAGTAAATTTATCTTATGTAATGTTTCGTTGAATATCGTCACTTATTCTAACATTTCAATCCTCTTGACATGAACAGAAGTCGTTTTAATGGACCAATCATGGATAGACATGCCTAGAAATACAAGTCAATATACGAGAGAATTGAATATCTTCTTGGACTTTGCGTTCACTAATAGTGATGTTAGGGGAAAGATAATCAAAAGGATATTCAGTGTGGCTTTTACACGGGGAAAGAAGAATAAATGACGAAGATCCTCAAGTAATGTCGAAGCTCCTCAAGTATCGCCGAAGAAGATGGTGGCAGAGTTGAAATTAATGATAATATCTTTCGATTATAAATTGAAATTATATGGTAGAATGAAACAAACACAACAGCTAACTTGTTCACCAATCTTTCGATTGAATTGACTATTTTTTAATCATTGCAATGGAGGAACAAAATCAACGTCCATATAATTATAACCACAGGGAATGGGACAAATTATCCACCATCTTCTGTTCACTGACATCTTTTGTTCTCAGAGCATGCTTAGACATTACTTTTCAAACGAATGGGAAGATAACGACAAAAATGGCATTACCAAAACTCTACCTCAAAATCAATATGCATTCTTAATTCTTTGGGTTTATTGGTCTTGAGTGGCAACCCTATCAGTAACTTTCCCTCCAGGAGTTTCTACATTACTTTCCTTAAAACCTAGTTCAGTCAAGTCTTGTTTTGCCATCAAGTTCCTGTAAGAAGCCAATTACATAGTTCATGGTAATTAGTTATAAAAACATCTAGTCAAAACAAAGGTAGGAACCATATATACCAAAAGTAATATCTACAACATAATATAACTATTTTACAATGAAAAGAACAAGACAGATCAAAGATATCCACTAAAATCACTAACTTCTATACTTAATATTTCATCATGAGAATAATTTGGATTAAGATTATATTCCATGATTTCGTTGCAAAATTGGTACAAATTTTGATAGAATAGCATTCTACTTGTGACTACGATCTTGTCAAGCTCATATGGTGTCATTAAATACACATCTATAGAAAAATCATTGACAAAACTTCTGCCTGAGAAATGATTAATAACGGATGCCAGTTGAATAACAAGAATTAATCCTAAATATAGAGACTTTATCTCTTAAAATGCTATTACTGTTTCCTGTCTCCAGTAATCTTGTTCTCTTTCTTGATTATTCAAAGAGGCATTTTGTTCCTATAATTAGGTAATTTGTAAAAGTATGGTTGCATGTATATTTTCTATTGTGTTTAGTTCCATACTCAAGATCACAATTAGGTTTAAATGAATAATGCTCACTTTTTCCTCACCAAAACTTGCATTGCTCAATTAAACATATCATAGTCAAAAATTCAGAATGACTAATTCAAATCCACGAAAGATAATTAACACTTTATAAAGCTGCTTAGTCATCATGTCAAACTACAAAATTGAGCTCAACAGAGAAGCCTAACCTATTTAATTAGACTAGCATGTGCATTGAAAACTTATATGCAATGCATTGAAAGCAAATCACCTCTCCATACGACACTGTAAGTATTTTTTTGAGAATTGCCTGCATTTTTCAGACTGGTGGCCAGCAGTCTTCAAACAATTTAAATATTCCACCTTCTCCTGTAACGAGGGCGATACAAGAATGAATCAAAATGGAGCTGAGAAACCAAAAATGAATAAACAAGTGAAAAAGAAACATACATACTAGGTCACACAAATGCAAATGGTCCAATGGGAATATTCCCTTTTCGGGAGGCACTGGACGGAGCCCCCTGTTGCCACCAAACGCACCACCTATACTACACAAAACCGTTAAAGACAATATTAATAATCAGAAACCGGTAAAGAATAAAGCATAGTGAAACATACTCTACAACATAGGAATAACAAAGGGTATTTGTTTTAGAAACAACAGAAAGAAGCATAAAGATTTCAAACAACCATAGAGCATAGCATTTTCACTACAAAATTTGGAAACAATTCATTTATCAAACAGAGGATGAAAGGTGAAAGGGAAACAAATACCTGCAACACTCATTTCTAGGATTTCATGCGGAAGCTTTGATACAGAATCTGAAAAACAATTTCAATTTCAACTGGATTAAATTAAAAAAAGAAAAAAAAACACGCTGTAAGTTGGATCCTTTGCACTTGAGATGAACAAACCAGGAGTCAAGTTTCTTCTGGGTAAAATGTTTAGAACTTTATTTTATCTTTAAGCAAACTTTTTAATTAGAGTTATTAAACTCTTTAAGAGTTTAATAAATTTGAATATATGTATATATTATTATATTATATTATGTATGAAAAGTAACCAGGGAGTGGTGAGTTTACGAAATTAACCTTGGGTGATTGATCTAGATTCAAGGGTGGGAGAGGCTGGAATCTATGTAGACAGATTTTTTAGCGTAGTAAAAGGGGTGGTTTTTGGCTCGTTGCGGGGCTTTGTATTTGTATTTTAGTTTGAAGGAGAGTTGGGTAGTTAATTTTTTTTTGTTGAAGAGAAGAGAATTGGATATTTGAGTCGAGCCTCGAGGGGCCTAGCCTAAGAGAGAAAGTGTGTGTGATTCCCTATAACGGGCACAGCTGGTTCCACGGCTTCTTTGGAGCCTTTGGATTTAGAGAGCTTTATTATTGGGCAATGAAGATGAAGATTGCTACGCGGTGGAATGAGGAAGGAGACGGGACGGATCTGCGACCTGGTCCCTTCGATCCGACGGCCAAAATGGAAAAGGACGTTTCGTTAACACGTGGAAGGAAACCCTCCGCTCCATGGTTCCATGTGAATAATCAACTCCTGCTTCAGCCTCCTACATAGATCCAGAACCTGCAAATCCCCCTCTCCTCTAATCTAATCCTAATCCTATACATCGCACAAACCTTTTTCATTACTTTTCTTTCTATGACATGAATTCAAAATTTCTTCTTTTTTATATAATTTCCATAACAGTAGTAAACAGTAACAAAACTCGGAATCAACCACACCAACCTAAACCTCCCAAGAAATCTCAAACCCCCTGTCAGACGTCAGAAGCATAGCAGCAAGGCTTGGATTATTAACCTGATTTTCATTATAAGACTCGCCCGACGCTACCAATGATTCCAAGTTAAAATGTAAAGAAACAGACACAAACTATTTTGATTAAAAAACGAAACATCCAAATTAATAATGCAATGCCCGAAAGGATTCCCTAAGTTTCAAACCGATTACGCAAGAATCCGCTCCAACTATATGTGTTGTTTTTGTGTGCCTAAATATCATGGCGTTAATCCAAATTCAGAACCAGATATTATTAATATACCCTATCATCTATTTGTGAGGCAGACATCAGAGAAAGTGAGGTTAGCTTCTGGAAACAAAATTTGACGGAAGTAAAGAAGGGGATCTCACGCACTTACTCACCGTGAGTTCCTCTTCATTGTTTAATTTGGATGAGACTGCAAGGACCTGACCAATTGGAGAGTCGACAGAATATAAGCCTTTGTGTATTCAGCCGAGATGAATTAAAATATAATAATAATTTTAGTAGTGGCCCAAATTTTTAATTTTAAACTTATTTACGGTAATATTTGAAGCTTAAGATTCTTTGGGTGAGAAATGTGATTTACAAGTTGCACATCATCGCATATAGCCGGCCCAACGAAATTTCGTGGCAGACATCCCACTAAACAATTTCAAAACCACTCTCTGCCCCCACTACTCCTCACTACACTTTCAACTCATTCCCATGCTCACGCTTTGCTTTTTCTCTGCCACTTTTGTTTCCAGTTCCCTTCTAACCAGTTCCTCAGATAGGTATTTATTTCACTCGTATCCATGTGCTGCTTCCTTTCAAACTATACACATATCTTTCGCTAAAAACACCTTCACAGTACACGTACACCACCACAAACCCTAGCTTATTTTTTTTATTTAATCAACAAAATAAAACAGATCAAAACAAAACACTGGCCCACGCGCCACTGCGCCACCAACACCATCCTTGCCCTCAAGATAAGTATGGATGGATACACACTCAACCAGAGAAAAGCAAAATAAAAACAATTATCAAGATATGTAATTTTAAGCAACGATTTTTAACTTTATGAATCACAACACACAAATCTTGAGTTTTCCCTCTTTTCGGTATAAAATCCCGAATTTTGTCAAATTGACCTATTCTCAGATCTTATTTCAGTCTCGCTCAATCATATTTTTTTTTTAAAAATAAAGATTAAATCATATTTATGGGGAAAGATAAAGTAACAAAGTGAATGACAAATTGTGTTACCTGAGAATTCGTTGCTGCGGAGAAGAAGGACGTTGACGGAGATTTGGATACCCTTTACTCTGATTATGATGATGATTGTTGTTATTATTATGAGTGTGTCCAACTCCAAGGGTGTTATTATTGACACCGAAGGTGGGCTTATTTAAAGAATCCTTATCGGTTCCAACGACCCGGCGATCCACCCGTACCGTTGTCCTCTGAACCGGGCCTGAAGAATCGTCCTTAACCTGCACCTTCATGCACCTTAACCGCTTCCGATTCCCCCACTGCAACACCAAATCCGACGTCGTTCCCTGTCTAGCGCCATCGGAACTCGCCCTCAACAGCAACGACCCTTCCCCTCCGCTTTTATCTCTACCACCAGACACCGTGTTATTGCTTCGAATACTTGAATCTTTCTCCATTTCTTCCACCTTTCCACGCCATCATCATCGTCACCATACTAGGTTAATTTAACTGCTAGCTACGATCAAAATAATTAAAATTAAGATTTAGTCCTTCACATGGTTACATTTTTAAATTGAAATTGGATTTGTGTTCCTTCACAAACAAAGACAGCGTCTCTCTCGTCCACATCCCAATTAAGAGATTACTACACTGTTGAACCGACGTTCTTTCGGACCAGAGTCTAAATCTGGCGCCTTATACCACTCGGCCAAACTGTCTTTTCTTTAAGTGATCACAACTTTTTCTAATAGCAAGTTTGACTGTTAACAAAATCATTTAACAAAATTTGAACTAGATAATCCAATAGCAAACCAATATCATCTTATTATAATTTTAAAACCCAAACCATTTCAAATCAATTTGGTTCGAAAAATTGAGTCAGTTCCTCCTGTGTTCAAGACACAGGAAAAGAGAGAGACCCCCTGACAATTGGAATGGCGTGCATGGCTCCATGAGAAGAAAATGGTCTCAAAGTTATCACATGCAAATCGAGTAACATTTCCACTGGCTGATCCATTAAACGAAAAAAATCAAGTAGATTAACAAGTAATATTTCTATGACAATTACCAGTTTCAAGAATGCAATATAAGGGTAAAAAACCTCCTCCGAAACAGAGAAGAAGAACAGCACTTATGTGTAGAACTAACATGTATGGAAACAAGATACGATAAATATTACATTTTGACCAGTTCTGAAATACCACATGTATCTACATACCAATGCTGTAACAAGGTCAAAACTACGATAAAAAAGTATGAAACAAAACAGCTTGTTTCATGACATAATACTCAAGAAAGAACAGGAACTAGACAAACTTCTTTAACCATCTCTAGACTGAGTCATACTTTTTTCTCTCTTCCTGAATTGATTGAAAAATTCTAGCTGCTGAATCAGTTGCTGATATTCGGTTGTGCGGCACGACTTTGATTACTCGAGTTGGTTGTCCGGTTTCAAGAGAGCGAGGAATAGACTCAGGTTCTGCCGGAACCATAGGGAAAAGAGGAAGAACATCCCTTCCTTCTGCAACTTGCCCTGTGCTTAATCCCTGTGCCATTACACCAGGACTACTTGCTGTACTCCCCTGCAATTCAAAATCCTTAGGTGTCTGATATTTCAGGACATGTGATAATGCTCCATTTCTCGGAGTTGGTAAATTACAAGAGCTTTGATTGTTTGTGATATGATCAGCTTCCCCTCCAGGTAAATGATCATTATACCTGTGAGAACCTAGTGAAGAGAACCGGTTCACCTGATCAACAGCTGACTCTGACATTGTTGCATTCATAACTGTCATCCCATATGGAGGGAAGTAAGCAAGACTTCCTGGAGGTGTTTGAGGTGAAACCCCAACACCTTGATGAGAAGTTGGGATTCCATAGGCTGGATTCATAAAATTACCACCAAAAGGAGCAGGCCCACATCCTCCACCATCTGTTCCTGTGAATCCAGGCCTAGGATATGGCTTGTAGGCAAGCCCTTCGTAAGGAGTCATAACAGGAACTAACCATTGGTGCCCAGCTGACTGATGGAAACACCAAGGGCCCGTTCCACTGTCAGCAACCACATTTGCCCGTTGAGGATTTCTTGGAAAAGGGGCTTAGTTTGACAGGTGGCTATCGTTTTTGACTGATGAGAGAGACGTCTTGCCAACTGCATTCTCCGCAGAACATTCCATTTTATGATTTAACTTTTCAGAATCATCTGTGCGCTTAAGGTTTTGTTGCCAAGGTTTTACAACATATTCCAGTGAAAGTTTCTTCCGAGTAGATCCCTTTGGAGTAGACTTTCCCAGAAAAGTGCCATCTTCAAGCAAAACCTCTGGTGATCCAGCAATTAGTTGTTGGACCTGCTTAAACATAAAAAATACTTCATTAGTATGAAAAAACTTCAGGAGTGTGCGTGAAAGAGAAGCTAATAAGCTTCCCATTCTGGACCAACACATGATGCTGAACAGTAGCAGAGATAATTTAACTTAATCAATCTGTGAAGCTCAAACACTTGGACAGTAAACACTCTCTGTTGACTGTAGAGAGGAACAAGAGTTGGATCAAGAAAATTGCACAATACTCATCCAATAAGGATTTGAGACAGAGAATTGAAATAACATAGAAAATGAAGCTAATGAAGTATATGATCATGTCGGAACTAGGATGCACTGGCATAGACCTAACTACAAAATCAAAGGATCTCCAATCAAATTAGGTAACTGGTTAAGTAAAATAACTTCAGTCAACAATTTATGTGTGTGTGTGGGTTGTGGGGGGCGGTGGTGGGATATGCACCATGTACATCAAAATCATATAAAAAATATCTATATGATATATTCATACAAGTCTCAGCGTGGTTCTTGGGGAGGACTAAACATATTATTAACAAGACATAAATATGATAACCATACCCGGTTCACAAATTTAACATGCCTATCGTAGTGTCATGAAAAAGCTTTCACATGGTTTAAGACAGTAATGACTTGTATCTAAGGCCATTTAAAATTACCACAGAAAAAACATTATATAATTCAAAATAAATATTTGAACAATTTCTTTGTCTCTATTCGGAATAAAGACTGGATAACAAGGAGCATTGGAGCATACAACAAACTGTGGGAACATTAGCATTCAACAGTCACAATCAATCAATCACTCTAGAAAAAATGTAAAACTTCACAGTAAACTTCTTTTCTGGGGCTGGGGATAAGCACATATACATCAAATTCATGCAAAAAATATCTGTGATATGAAATTTATCCAAGCTCTAGATGGCAAGACGACCTGACTAACAAAAGTGTGTATAAGTCCCAACCCAAAATTCTCGAAAGTAGAAAAAGAAGACACTGGATAAGTTACAGAAAAAGGGCAAAAATCCCCTTATTATCAAAATCTCAGTCATGAACTCTCCAAGTGTCCCTACCATACATCCAGGGCCATCCTGCCTTACTTGGTCCCCCTTCTTAGTTCAAGTCCTTCAGTGTAGTGTAAGGAAACTTGCCCCAGTGGTGACATGGAGAACCAAGCAAGAGGAAACGTGGACAGAAACATATCCAAAATCCAGTGGCTAGAAGACAGTGAATTATGAGATGATATGCTGTCACACGGGTGCCCTCCAACATAGTATAATATTAAGACTGCTCACTGCCCTGTTGTAACCAGTATCCACCATTAAAACACTATCAAGGACTTTGATTTTACAGCAACAACAATAACAATAGTCATGTCCCACTAAAGACTTTGAATCTATACAAAAAATTCAAATAGAAAGTGCCCCAGGACTAGCAAATTTCCTTTCTTGAAAACAACATTTATAACTCCTTAACTGAAATGAAAATATCCAGCCAACATGCATAGAGTATATATAACTAAGGATGCATAATAGAAGAAAACAACAATCAGCGGTGAACAGTTTCCTAAAATCAGTGGACATATCAAGCTTCCACCAAAAACATGGCTTTTGGGTTTTGTAATCTAAATCTAGA